TATTCCATTGCGTGCATCTGTCACATTCTGTTTATTCATTCTTTGTTGAGAGGCATTTGGGTTGTTTCCACCTTTTACTTATGAATAATGCTGTTACAGACATTCATTTACAGGTTTTCTTGTGGACGTGTTTTCATTGCTCTTGATATATTAGCAATGGCATGACTGGGTCAGATGGTAAATCTGTAACTTTTTGAGGAACCGCACAACTGTTTTCCAAACTGGCTGCACTGTATGCAGTGAACTTTGAGGAAACTGCAGTTGTCAAATTCTGGTGTAGTACTTAGTGTCAAGTATGGTATAGTATTATCCATAATTTTCTGCAAAAGTTATTAAAGTAGTCCTCCCCTTTCCCACTGCACATCTGTGTGAAATAGATTTTCTTCGTATACTCCAACCCAGACAATGTATTGGGACAGACTGAATATAGAGGTTGCCTTGGAGATCCAGCTGTCTTCCATTAAGGAAAACATTAAAAAGTTTGCAGAAATATAAAAACATTGCCCCTCTCCTTACCAGGTTTTTTAAAAAAATGTTTTTTCACAAAAAAATTTATGTACTGAATTCATTGTTGTTATTTTTAATGAATAAAAATGATCTAAAATAAATATTTTAAGGATTTATGTTTTCATTTTCAGTATGGTAAGCATCAATAGCCATAACTCACATAAACCCACATATTGGAGTCCTCAGTAATTTTTAAGACTAGAAAGGGTTCCAGAACCCAAGGCTGTGAGCCCCGCTGTCCTGGGTGCTCCAGCAGAGGGGCTCCTGCATGTGTCTGACTTGGCCGCCCCTCCTCCGCTGGCCTCAGTTTGGGTGGTCTTCCACTCACTAGCTGTGGGCCTCGAGGGAGCTGGGGTTCTTCCTCTGTAAAATGGAGATGGTGAGATGGAGTGTACGGGTCCAGGGTGTGTACACCCTGATTGAGAAGAGGTTATGAACCCCATGAATCCCTCTGCTGCAGTGAGACCAGATGCTGCAGCTTTTGCCTGGAGAATAGTTGATTATCCTCTGCTGCTCTGAATTCCTCTTTTCTTTGGTTTTCATGTTAATTAATGCTTTGGGGGATAACTTGTAGAGATGGGCAGCAGGAGAAATCAGCGATGATGGTGAGGATGCCACTGAGGGAGGGTGGGGAATGGTGAATGGTACAGGTGACTTGGGTGCATTTTATTTAACAAATAACACCAACTGTGTGCCAGGCACTGTTCTGCTGGTTGGCAAAGACAGAGTGGGCAGACAGAGTGGGCAAAGCAGATGACACCCCTCTCCTCCAAGAGACTATATTCTGCTAGCAGGTAAGGAGGAGAGATAGTAAATAAGCAAAATAATTTCAGATAATGATGCATGAATGAAGAAAACAAAGCAGGATGACATGATCTGGGGCAGGGCGGGCCTGACTATGTGAGATTAAACAACTTCCAATCTTGGGAGTCAGAAGGGTCTTAAACTTCCTATCATGTGACCTAATGTTCTCATTCCTGTTCAAGTGGCACCGCTCCTGAAAGTCTCAGGGCTATTTGCATAACTCCTTGAAAATATGTGAGCATGTTCCGCCTTAAGGGAGCTAACTAAGTAAATTGGTGCCAAGTTAGATACTATTTGAAGTGAGGTATAATATATAATATGAGAGTTGCTAATTTGGTGGGTTTTTTTGTTTTTCATTGATTACTAAGGTACATGTATTTCAGAATGTTTGTCTCGTATTGCACAGGGTAGAGGAGGGAACAGTTACCCATAATCTCACTAACCAGAGGCATCCACTGTTCATATTTGGGCATATTTTCGTTCTGCCATTTTTCATACTTTTTGTTTGTATAGTTGAGGCACACTGTTTCTTCACTTAACAGATAAGCATTTCCCTATCTTTAAAAGCTCTTTGGAAATTGATTTTTATAACTAAACATTCCCATTATCAAGCAGCTTTTAGCCATTTCCCAAATACTAGACATTTGAAATGCCCTCTGGCCCTTCTCCCTCTCCCCTGTGTTTTTGAGGTTCATAAGCAAGTCCCTCCTAATGACAAGAGTGCCTTATGTTTCCATGCTTCACTGCTGACGTGGGGCATTCATCTCACTTGACCTGCGATAACTCCTGAAAAGTACACAGCACAGTTATGAATACAGCCCTTCTAAAGTCGGACACAAAGCAACACGTTAGTCATCACAATGTATTTCCGTAGCTCTTTACAATTAGGAAGAAAGCTCATGGATTTTTGGCTCCTGCTCTTTTCTTTGTATCCTGTACCCCATGTGGACATCTGTCATCGCATGTGCAGTGACTGATTGCACTGATGTATGGACATACCCCTTTCTCAACAGCCCTGAGGCTCTTAGAATACAGAACCGGACTGCCATTTGTCTCTGTATCTTCAGCATTTAGTAAGAACTAGATACCTTCGAATAAATCTTAAGTGAAAAAAATATAAATATGAGGAAAAGCTTCAAATTGAGACAACCTAACAGAGTAGCTGAAAGAGCTTAGGAAAGGTAGAAATTCCCCCATCCTGTGAAGGAATGCCCTCAGCACCCGTTGCAAGACTGGGCCTTCCAAAAAGCAAATGTTGCGAAATCATTTCTGCCACATGCTTTCACTGTCCTTTTGGCAAGGTCTTGAATATTCATGTTTGAAAACACGTTGAAGTGCTGGGAGAATTGCTTTCCTGTTTACCAGGAATGTCATTATGTGGCAGGGGTCCTCCGGGGACGCACTTGACCGTGAACCCTTGTTTTCTTTCTGAAGAATAACAGGATAGCGCGGCAGTAATGTTAAGATCACTTTTAACCTTGTCGTAAAATCCAGTTTACTGTACTTTGGCCAAGCTCTTAATAGTCTTTATGGTTATTAATTTATCTAGGGTAGCATTTTTGCTCAGTTTAGATCGCACATAGCTTGATGATGCAGTTAACTGATAGGGTCCCAGCAGAGCAGAAGAGTATGAATTCACAGGTAGTTAAGCAGCATGCACCTAAGTGATTTGTCCCATACTCCCGAGGCGCCTGCACTTCGCTCCTCTTCTTGCAGTAACCGAGGGATACAGATGTTGTTTTTGTATAACCCGCCCTGGTCCTGCTAGTACCAGTTCTTTCTTTGCAAAGAAGCAAAAGGGTGGGGGCAGAATAGAAATAAAATCCACCTTGAAAGACTGTTTTACTCTTGTAAATCAAAGAACAAAGTCTGGTACTGGTGGGGCTGTGATCAAATTGTAAACACTGTAATGTAAATGCCGGGGCTGCGGTAAATGATATCACAAGCGGTAGGTAGAATGTGGGAGGTTATTTGGCCCTACCTAGCATGTTACTACAAGTTATTCAAGAGAATTGTTTTAAAAGCTCCACGTTTTATTGCAGTATTATCTTTGATAACAAAAACCTGGGCCTAAAGTTGGTCTGTAGAGGATGTGTTTACTAAATGATGGCACATCAACATGATGGATTATTACATAGCCTTGAAAATGTGATTATCAAGATAATGTAGGGACTTGGAAATGTTTTACTATCCAATTAGTGTCAAGAAGAGCTGAATGCAAAACATCCTAATTTGTATAAATGTTCAGGTCAAAATCTAGAAGTTAAAATGCAAAAACAAATATAATGTATTTAAGTTGATGGGATTATGGACAATTTTTGCCTTTAGTGTTGGTAATTGTATTTTTTAAACAATTTTTTGAAGAATTACAGATTTACAGAAAAATTGCAAGTATAATAGAGTTTCTACAGAATCTTCACTTAGTTTCCTTCTGTCGTTAATAATCCTGTTTTGTTTTGTTTTGTTTTGTTTTTGAGACGGAGTTTCACTCTTGTTACCCAGGCTGCAGTGCAATGGCGCGATCTCGGCTTATCGCAACCTCCGCCTCCTGGGTTCAGGCAATTCTCCTGCCTCAGCCTCCTGAGTAGCTGGGATTACAGGCACGTGCCACCATGCCCAGCTAATTTTTTTTTGTATTTTTAGTAGAGACGGGGTTTCACCATGTTGACCAGGATGGTCTCGATCCCTTGACCTCGTGATCCACCTGCCTTGCCCTCCCCAAGTGCTGGGATTACAGGTGTGAGCCACCGCGCCCGGCATGACAGATTATTTTTAATGATAAAAGCCACGAACTCCGTTAGAATAGTGAATGTTTCAAGTGCATAAAAAGCCTTTGGGAGGGATTTCTATCATTGTTTTGTTATCCAATAATCAACTGAAGCCTTCAGAAGAGGCTGTCTCAAGCTTGGCTTGTTTTCTGGCACTTGGACATCTTCCTCCTTAGTTTTTTTAACAGTATAGAAAAGGCAGTTTTGAAGGCTGGCTCCTTCAGACATAGCTTCAAGGCCAGAAGAGATGGTCTTAGACTCTTGACTCCAGGGCAACTCTTCCAGTTGCTTGTCTGGGTAGAGGGCTGGCTGGCCAGTGTGTGTTCAGTACAGGGTTACATACCCAGTGGTCCTTCATAGAAGGAATTCACAAGTTGACATGCTTCATTTTGCCCCTAAAACCAACCATCTAATTCACGTTTTCCCAAACGTCTTACACCGAAGTACCTTTAATTGTAAGTAAAAGGGACTTTGTGCTCTAGATGTCTGAGATGAGAGTCACAGACATTTCCTCTTCTCTTTAAAATGTGTATTCACATTTTAAATTCTGTTCCACGATGTATTTAATAGGAAAAATATTTTAAATTACTTGCCATTAGAAAGAAAACGTCCAAAACTTTTCTTGTCTGACTTTTTCATAAAATTCACACTTTTGCACACTTTTATGATGTGCATGTCACCCAGGAGCCGTGCGTGTAAGTATGCCAGTTTTGAAGCACAGCACTAGCTTATTACTCTCTCCTACAGGTTTATTTAGTGACTTTGGCTCAGGCTTTGCTTGTACCAGGAGAGTGCAGATTACTCTTATGTAAGCTTTTTATAGTATTTCTGTCCTCTTCTGTAGTTTCTATGAGAAACTGGGGAAATTGTAAAAGAAAGGATTCTGGATACTTAACCTTCTCACTTATGGTTTCTTTGCAGGAGGAGAGGGCAGTGAGAGATAGGAATCTCCTCCAGGTTCAAGACCATGATCAGCCCATCCTGTGGAAAGTGCAATTTAACTTGGGCAACAGCAGTCGTCCGAGCAATCAGTGCCGCAACTCCATTCAAGGGAAGCACCTCATCACTGATGAACTCGGTGAGGCTGGCTTTTCTTCCTCTCCAGGCGGTCAGGAGCATAGACTGGGTGGGCCATTCATAGGGCTTTTGTTTTAATAGAGATTCCTGCCTCACTCGTTTCCAACATTCCTCAGGGTTTTGTCTGTTACACCCTACTCATCATTCAAGGTTCCCTTTGACATCAGGGCAGCTTGTTTTGATAACTCTAACTCTTAAAAGCTCCTTCTGCCTACAACTTACAGCATTAGCACTATGTCATGCATTAGTCCCCAGGCCCCTTCTGACAATATCTCCCCAGCCTCAGTATTTCCCCATCTTGCCAATCTTTTATTCTCATCTTGATAGTGAACTCTAGAGGATAAGAGGTCAGCTTTTCTTCTTGGTAACCTGAATAAGGTTGTGTTGACATTGTGTTGACACTCAAGAAATGTACTTGTTGACTGACCAGATCATTTCAAAGTAATCGTAAAGACGTTCAAAAGGTATGACCCTTAACAGTGAAAACATAAATCTACTTGATAAGGTTTTCTCACTTTTAAGCTGTCAGAAGATTTCTGCCTGGGCAAGATGGTTGGACTAGACACCTGCTAAGCTCCTACCACTTGAAGATTGCTGAGTCTTCTTAGAGAGTGAGACTCCTGCTAGTGCTTAGCCTGTAATCATGGAGCCCTTCCTATGTACTGGGCACTGGGCTAGCAGCATTCCTTGAATATTTCCTCTGATTTTTGCAACAGTCCTTTGAGATAGATACCACTATCCTCATATTATAGGTGAAGACATAGCAGCAAGGTTGAGGAACTGGCCCAGGATTGCCAAAGATTTTATAAACCTTAAACGTGATACCATTATCACATCAAAAAAAGTAACAATTTCTCCTAATGTCAAATATCCAACAGTATGCAAAGTTCCCTGATTGTTTTACATACTTTTGTTTCTACTGGAGGTTTGCGAATAACATGCTTTTTTTTTCAAGAGCAAATTTTGCCCTATTTCTAAAAGTCTCAGAACAAATGGATTGTGAACGTGACAATATGGAAATTGCTATAGATAACACTGTGTTAGAATCTTCATCTATACCCAATGAAGCTGAACTAAATTTAAAGACACCTGCTGTCTTTAAAATGAAAACCACAGGCCGGTGTGTTGCCTCACACCTGTAATCCCAGCACTTTGGGAGGCCAAGACAGGAGGATCACTCAAGCCCAGGAGTCCAGGACCAGCCAGGGCAACATTACAAAACTATGTCTCTACAAAAAGTAAAAAATTAGCTGAACATGGTGGCACACCTCAGCCTCCTGAGTCCCAGCTACTGGGAGGCTGAAGTGGGAGGATCACCAGAGCCTGGGGAGGTTGAGGCTGCAGTGAGCCATGATTATGCCACTGCACTGCAGCCTGGGTGACAGTGAGAGCCTGTCTCAAAAAAAAATAAGAAAAAAACCACAGTGCATTATTGCTTAAAAAGGGGGGTTTTGTATTCCTTGCAAAACAAAAACACTTTATAAAAGATCTCAAAGTCTCCAAACCAGAGATGAAATAATTTGGAAATGAAGAAAGGAGCTGGGGAAAACTGCCCGCCTCAGGTAACACAGCTGGAGTGTTTTGCACCAAAATGCATTCTCAACTCAGCAGTGATGCCAGCGACAAGCTGTGTTTTTAAGATCACGTTGAAAAAGCAAATCATGTTGAAAATAATGTGGGTTTGGTTTTTTGTTTTTAATAATCAGAGTGAAGTTTAGCAAAAGGAAGTTACTTCCACAAGGTGACATAGTCAAGAGGCAGACATTGACTTGGAATTCAGGGCTTCTTACAGGATGTATGATATTCAGTGAGAAAACATGGAATCTTACGCTCTGATTTTCATGTTTAGCATTGGGTTAGGAGCACAGTTTGGCATCTTCTTTTATCATAGCTAGTGAAAGAATATTCTTTTGATTAATCTGGGCGAGACAGAGACTCTCAGACTCCTTGAGTAAAAAATTCCAGGAATGAATCAATCAGTCAATTAATAAAAACCCAAGAGCTATAGGCTTTATTTTTTTCTCCATGAATGTGGGTGAAGTAAGTAGTTTAGTTAAGAAAACATGTAAGAACTTATGCCTCTTAGCAAGCAGATGCCACTATGAATATTGCCAGGGTAACACATTATTAAATCATTTGCATTTACAAACTTTTCAAAGGCTGGAAGTTAATTTTCAAGGCAATAGCAACACAGTATGAGGTTGTGATCTTACAGGACTCCTGTTGGAAATAACGTTTGTGTGAGTAGATGTCTGATGCAAGATGAGAGGTCTTGATGAGCTTGCTTTCACTGGGAGCGAGAAAAAGCTGCAGTTTGAAGGCTGAATACTGTAAGTTGGCAGTGGGGAAGGAAAAGAACGCCTGAGATGCTGACACTTAGGAAAAGTAAAGGGCAGAAAGAGAATTTCAACTGGTAGAGTTTAGGTCACATTATATAGAGTTGCTATGTATGTATTATTTTGAGCAGAATTTGGAGGAAAATGCTAACTAACATATTTACATTTTGTTTTTGTTGCTAGTTCCTGTAAAGAAAATGAGTAAAAATAGGAAGAATCCCAAGAAACATTTACTATAGTATTAGAATCATTCCTCTCTTAATTTAGAAGACACAATAACATAGTTAAACAGCAACTACAACAAAAGGCACCAATTCCCAAATATCTGGAACCCCGTTCTCTATAGGTCTCATTTGCCCAAGTCATAAGTGAGGGCCCATTTAGTTTCTTCATTATCATTATTCTACTGCTGCCTCCTGCTTTTGAACAGACTTTGTTTTCTAAAGTAGTTTCTGAAAACAGCCTTATCCTTCACCAGGTCTCCTTCTCTGAGGATTAAGAACCTGGGGCCTATGGAATGGAGTAAGGCGGGGAGCAGCTGCTCTGCACCTGTGGGCCTGCGCGTGCACCTGGGAGCTCATGTGTACACCTGGGAGTTTCCTGAGGGCCAAGTGGTGGCCCTTATGGACTCCTCCTTACATTTTTCTGTCTCATTCCCGGAAGGATATAGAGAAATGTCTGTTTCGCAGCTCTAAACAATAAATTAGCTTTTGTAAGGAGATTTTTTTCTCTAAAGTTGGGCATGAATTGGTGGGTTAGAGGGGGCTTGTGTATGTAGATGATGGGATTTATAAGAAGTGTGGGGGATTAGGAGGTTTTTTTCTTCCTTGAGTGTTAGAGAACTGCATTCCCAAAGGCTGCAGGTTGATTGAGTCCCTGGCATGTACATGTACAAATCAGTGTATAAGGGTTACATGTGGATATTTCTATTTTTATAATCTTCCAGATTACTCAGTAAGCAGTGAGCATCTAAAAGAGATTTGTAAAGTGGTTTGTTTGTTAAATCTAGAAGGATCTCACTTCTGTCAATCAGTGCCTTGGTTTTTTCTGTTTTAAACTTTTTGTTCAAAAGCGAATGACATTTTTCTTCAGGCACAGATGAGCTGTTGGCTTGCATAGGTTAGGATAGGAGAACGTAGCTTGACCTGGTGATGAAATCAAACGTGTGCCAGCAGACTAAACAGTAGTTGTAGGTAGGTTACGATGGGCAGCCTGGCAATAATGTGGGAGTGCGTGCTTTCTGTAAACGAATGCATGGGGAAAGCAAGCCCCACTCACAGCATGTCCAATTTCTAGCTCTTTGGTGCTTAGGATGATGCCCCAGACTCCAGCTCCTGTCTCTCTCTGTTCTTTGCATGCTGTACTTTCAGTGCTGCTTCATGGTTATCCCTGATAGGGAGGTGGAGAGGCTGCTGGTTTTATGCTAAGGTGGTCTCTGACTTTCAGGCTACGTTTGCGAGAGGAAGGATTTGCTGGTGAACGGCTGCTGTAACGTGAACGTCCCCAGCACAAAGCAGTACTGCTGTGATGGCTGCTGGCCCAACGGCTGCTGCAGCGCTTACGAGTACTGTGTCTCCTGCTGCCTGCAGCCCAACAAGGTATGGGGAGTTGCTCCTGGCTCCACAGCTCCTTTTTCCTTTTGGCCTTTGTTTTGTGATGAGCATTAGGCTCTTCCTGTGAGGTGCTTCTGAAAATAAAACTTAGAAAGGAACTTTGTAGGTGTCAGAAATTGCTGCACAATAGCTTTTATCTGACAGGAAAGGAGGTGGTTCCCAGTTGCTTGAATGGTTCTTTCGCAGAATGGACCATTGTATTGCTAATCACATATCTGGTGAATAAGATACCCGGGGTGCTGTGGCATGCACATGTGTGCACGCGTGTGTCCCTTCCCCTCCCTCCTTTTCTCCTTCTCTTTCCCCCCTCTCTTTATATCAGCATTCTCTTAGTTTAGGAGAGATAGCCAAGGTCACCTTGTGCTGGCTTAGGTAATTTATTACAGGCACTAACTTTTGTTTCCATAGCAACTTCTCCTGGAGCGCTTCCTCAACCGGGCAGCTGTGGCATTCCAGAACCTCTTCATGGCAGTCGAAGATCACTTTGAGTTGTGCCTGGCCAAATGCAGGACCTCATCCCAGGTCAGAAGCTGTGATGTCTCTAGCTGTAGGATGGCAGCTGATGGGTTAGAAGAAGACTAGAAAATACACACTGAGATCCTTTTGCAGGGGTGGTAATGGAGAAGAGACTCAAATGAAGCCATGTCACGCTTTGTTTGGTGTAATGATAGTATTTAAAATGTCAATGTGAGATTTATACAAGTTAGGGGAGGTGAAGCATTTATATGAAATCAGGGTCTAATCAACTTGTATCTCTCCTATCTGGTGGGTACATTTAAATGGAAGCTTAAAATTATTTTTAAGTCTGGTGGAGTCCTAATAGTCCAGCTCCAAAGAGAAGGTCCTCCTCCCTGTCTTTGAAATTTGACCAAGGCTTTCCAGTAACCACTTGTTTAGAGTAAGTAGCAATTTGTTCTGGGATGGAGTCGTTGTTTATTTTAGGATTCAAGGGGATGAGGCAGGTGAATGTTTAAAAATACATGAATAAATCTGTAGGCTGTCAGGCTCTCAATACGAATTAGTGTGCTGTCATTAAATGCTTCGCTCTTTGGGGATTAAATATTATTGCACCTGCTGCCGAAAGCGTCTGAAAGTCTTTTGCCTTTTCATCACTGTCTCCTTGGATCTCAGCTATTGTGATTGGGCAGTTGTGAGCTCTCTTTGTAAAATCACCAGACGTGTTTATTATAGCGCACACTTCTTCTGGCTCCTATTCATGGTGTCGCTAAGATTTTACTGGCTTCGTCTGAGATAATGGACTCATTTGTCATTCTCCAAAGCTCTTGTACCCTTTGCCAGATTTCTGTAGTCCACCTTTTGATTTTATGTCCCTTCTCATGTCTCTGGTTTGTTCTGCGAGCATTCAGTATCATTGGGTAAATGTTTCAAGGATTATAATGAGCATTTGAAAACATTAAGAAATTCCTGATGGTCTTGTTTTGCTTGAAGAGCTTTCCACTTGAATGAGCTTTAAAGGAAATGAGGAGGAAGGCTGAACACATGACTCATTTTGATTCAGATTCTCTCTCATTCTAAGAAACGCTAGAAAAGGCGAAGTATTTTCTTTCCTTCACTGATAAAACCCAAGAATTATTTCCAGTCTTAAGCGAAGCTCCTGTACTTTCGGACCTGGTCTTTTCACCATAAAAAGATTTCCCAATTGCCATTTGATTTGTTTTGATAAAAGTATCCCAAGAAAGAGAAGATTTGGCTATATGTCTGTTAAATTGGATGAATATTTACAAGTTTGTTGCTTAGCATTGGTCTTGGACTAATTAATGAATTCTAGACTAGCCAAAAGCTCAAGTTGCTTGTATGAAAACAAATTGCTGAAAAATTAGCCATCAGGAGTGATTGTCTGCTTTAACTCACACTTCCAATTTGCTTAGCCAAATGAGGCTTGCATCGTATTGTAGGATTTGGCTCGTGCACCAAATTTTTAGGTACATCAACTTTATGAAAGCAATTTAAAGTGCATCTCCTTAGTGTCTCTGCAGGGTTCCTTACCAGGAACTGAATGTCTGAAGACAGGATCAGGCGCAAAACACCCATCGGATCTTAGACTATTTCAGGTAATTTGAGAAAAAGTAGTTGTCTCACGTAGCCAGGTCACAGCAAGGTTATTTTAAAAACTCACTGGTGTACATAAAAAGAAACAATCCCACAGTGCTGTTATGTCCATGTTCATGTAGTTCGTTGGCATTCTCAGTTGAACATTCTTCTTTGTTCCAGAAAGTGCCTTGGAGCCTTTAGTGACATTTGAAGATGGACTGGGCCAGCCTCCTGCAGGGAGAGTCTGACAGTCCTGATCGACTCTCACTCTTCCAAGAGGGAGATCTGCGAAGCTGTGCTCGCTCTCACCATGCACTTATCTTCCTTTTGCCAACAGAGCGTGCAGCATGAGAACACCTACCGGGACCCCATAGCAAAGTATTGCTATGGAGAAAGCCCGCCCGAGCTCTTCCCTGCATGACGGGTGCAGCGGACTTGGTCCAGCCCGGGTAAGGAGGCCCCGCTGAAGAACTCACCTCCTGGGGCCCAGCTTTGGCAATCGGGACCAGGCTGTGGGAAGAAGACAAAGGCAGGGCGAGGAAACCTTGGCTTTGACCACGTCTCGTGTTGTCATCTTTGGCTTTGCTTACCACCGGGCTTACCAGATGGAACTCTTCTGCATAGCAACTTGGACCCTCCAGCCCGTCCCATTCGGGAAAGATGAAACCACAGGCCGGGCTCGTGGTGGTGTCGGAGTTCTTGGGTGACTCAGCCCTGGGACCTGCACAGGGACTTGTGACTTGTGTTCGTCAGGGGCCGGTGTCACCTCCAGTTTTGATCCAGGCCCTTTCACTGTAAAATTATTTATTGGGTTCCTTTGGAGCAATGGGAAAATTCTAATGTTTTATGTAGGAAGATGCCATGCCATTCTAGTGGAATATGTTCAAGGAAATTATTTTTATTGTTGGTCTGTGTTCTCAACTTTTGGGAGTTAAATCATTCTTTCACCCAGATAAACAAACATTTTGTCTTTTAGGACATGGGTGCTTTCTCTAGGCAGTTATTTTTGTTTGTATTTTGACAGTAACAAGCATAGGCCCTGAACATGACCTGTTAACCATATCCTAACATCTAAAATTATCTGAAAACTCACTCTTCCTTTCTAATCTAACTGACGGATTTCTAGCAGTGGGCACCATGTGCCCGCCCTCAGGTTCTTTTCTAGTGGCAGTTGAATGTGCTCATATACCCTATGGAGAGCACTGTTTTAGCAGAAATCTAATTTCTCATCCTGGAGGAATTTGTTCTCATTTCTTTTGCCACTTAAAATTAACTGTGGGCTGCTCAGAGGGAGCCTCAGGAGGGTCAGAGGCTCCTCCTCCCGTTCTGTCAATAGAAACCTAGTGCTGAGGCAATCCCTAAACAGACTCACCTCGCAGCTTGCGGTGTGTGTTTATTCTTTATTGCTTTCAGCTTTGGGGTGTAACCGGTACAAATGTTTGGTTTCCCTGTGATCTGTAAAGAAGAAACTCAGCTTCCTATCAGAGCACTGCAAGAGAAGAGCACTGCCCTCAGTGGGAGAGGAGGATGGTCGTTCGGACTTAGAGAATGCCGCACATGTGGGTTGCTGGTGCGTCCTGAATCCACCAGCATAAAGCACTCCCCATCTTTCAGACTGTAACACAGTTTCTCCAGCTCAAGGTCTAGAATATTTGATCCTAAGATCAAGACATCATGCTCTTTGACTAGTACTGCTCTTTGATTTCAGGAGTCACATTAACATACAACTCTCCTATATTCCTTCACAAACCTCAGGATTGAGCAAGGGCTTTGTAATGTTTTTTGGTTCAAATTCTTGACCTGGGAGCAAGGTGCTAATTCTATGGTCAGTATTCAACATTTTCTTCAGTGGAGCTTTTACTTTGGGCCGCATTTGCCATCCAGCACGTTTCTGCAATATGCAGTGGGATTTTCCTTAACTTCCTCCCACTACCTCTTATACTCACCTCCTTTAAATAGGTTTTCCTAGAGGGTACGCCGGTCAGGCAGTTTTCAAAATATTAGATCCCAAGAAATCTATTCCATTTGCATTGGACTTTTCAGAGTCCAGCGGGACTAAATCAAACTGACGTGACAGGATTGTGGCTTGTCTACATATTTCATCCATCCACTTTTTCTGGTAACTCAGTTTGGAATTTCAGTGTCTGTCTTCCCTTGGTTGACATTGGTATCAGCCTCTCCTTTGAGCTTATTTTAACTCTTGAGCAACATAATGTAGATTTCATGTGAAGAGTTTATACTAAAGGGCAGCCTGTGCCTATTTACAGATCCTCTCTGACTTTGTACTTGAAGAGTGCATTTTACATTTCCAGTGCTTTCACAAACAGGAGCTCCAACCTTACGATGGAGAATTAAGCTTTCTTATATTTCCACTTTGTGGATGAGGAAATAGTGAGAGATGAAGTGACTTCCCGGGTCCCCACTGAGATTTAGTGACAGATCCCAAACAAGAACTTCGTCTCTGACTCTAGGTCCAGTCCTCTTCCCGCTGTCTCTTGCCAGCTCCGCCCTGATTCACCATGGGCATATCCCCTGAGAGCAGATATGTTTCAATTGTCCAGGCCAAAAGAGGGGTGAGGTGGCATAAATACCCAAATTAGGGGGAGGATCCAAAGGTCATTTTCATTTGGCTGTGGAATATGTTTTTGTACCTCAGTCAGCTAGGGGTATGTTCACTGTTTGTGGAAATTCACAGCGCTTGAGCCTCCGTAATGAAGCCAGGCTGCAGAGCACCTGGCATGTGCTCCAGGCTCCCAGCTCCCAGCCTGGGACCCTTCCCTGACCTCCACTCTGGTTTGTTTCTGATTCCCTCAACCGAGGGTTTCTAGAATCAAGGACCTTGTCTAAGTTTTGTTTGCCCAGAGCCCAACAAAGTGTGAAATAACACGTTGGGAGTTTAGAAGATCACAAAAGGGATGAAAAAAGCTTTAGAAAAAAATGTTATTGGCCTAGTATGGTGGCTCACGCCTGTAATCCCAGCACTTTGGGAGGCTGAGGTGGGTGGATCACCTGAAGATAGGAGTTCAAGACCAGCCTGACCAATATGGTGAAACCCCGTCTCTACTAAAAATACAAAAACTAGCCGGGTATGGGGGTGTAAGTTGTGAGACTCTGTATCAAAAAAAGGAAAGAAAAAAGAAAAATGTTATTAATAAGTGAGTGTTTTAGGCTGAAGGGAATTGAGTCATACAGCGCTTCTCCCCCAGTTCTGCATCTTATTTGTTGTGCTTCTTGCTGGAGTTGTAAAGATCGGTCCTAATGGAAAGAAACACACAAGAGACTGTGAAGAGGAAAGAAACACACAAGAGACTGAGATAGGCAAGGACAAAGGAGGGAGCCAAACACCTTACATGGGGCCTGGGACCTGGCCATGCTAGAGCTGCTTTTTTTTTGAGATGGAGTCTCATTCTGTCACCCAGGCTGGAGTGCAGTGGTGCAATCTTGGCTCACTGCAACATCCGCCTCCTGGGTTCAAGCGATTCTCCTGCCTCGGCCTCCCACATAGCTGGGATCACAGGAGTGCACCACCACACCCAGCTAAGGTTTTGTATTTTAGTAGATACAGGGTTTCACTGTATTGGCCAGGCTGGTCACAGACTCCTGACCTCAGGTGATCTGCCCACGTCAGCCTCCCAAAGTGCCAGGATTATAGGCATGAGCCACCGCACCCAGCCTGGAGCTGTTACTGATGGGCGAACTCCACAGCTTTTGCAGAAGCAGAGGGTAGGACCTGAGAGCAGTGCTGTCACCTCTCAGCATGTCCCCAAGCCTGACTGGGGGATCCTGGAGATGCCTTAGTTGGCATTGGCCCCACAGGAACTTACAAACAATTTGTAAGTTTCTGAGTGCAGCTTTTCCGATCCTTGGGATCTGCAGATAAATTGTAAATGCAGGGAGTTACTGCTTATTGGATATACTTTTCTTTTTTCTTTTTTTTTTTTGAGACTGAGTCTCACTCTGTCGCCAGGCTCCGGGCTGGAGTGCAGTGGCACAATCTCGGCTCACTGCAACCTCCACCTCCCGGGTTCAAGCAATTCTGCCTCAGCCTCCCAAGTAGCTGGGACTACAGGCATGCAACACCACGCCCAGCTAATTTTTGTATTTTTTAGTAGAGACGGGGTTTCACTATGTTGGCCAGGATGATCTCGATCTCTTGACCTCGTGATCCGTCTGCCTTGGCTTCCCAAAGTGCTGGGATTACAGGCTTGAGCCACCGCGCCCAGCCTGGATATACTTTTCATAGGTAGGACAGAATTCTTTTGGGACTCTAGAGTTGGGAACTGCCACTTACTAGCGGCGTGGTCTGAGGCAGTCTTCCTCCTCTGCATCTCAAGTCCTTCACCTGTGAAATGGGATCACAGCCTCTGCCTCTAAGGATCACTGTGAGGTGTTGCTGTGAGCAAGGCCTGATGCTTGGCAAGAAGTCGATGTCTGCAACTTGGCGGGGAGCAACAGCAGAGGCCGTTGGGTAGGCTCGGATGGGGCTGGATGGACTCCTGGGGTTGGAAGGGTAGGGATTACAGAGCTCTTGTTAGTATTGTACTGTTTTTGTTCTTGTTTTTGTTTTTTTTGAGATGAAGTCTCGCTCTGTCATCCAGGCTGGAGTGCAGTGATGTGATCTTGGCTCGCCGCAACCTCCGCCTCCCGGGTTCAAGTGATTCTCCTGCCTCAGCCTCCAAAGTAGCTGGGATTATAGGCATGCCCCACTGCACCCAGCTAATTTTTTGTATTTTTAGTAGAGACAGGGTTTTACCGTGCTGGCCAGGCTGGTCTTGAACTCCTGACCTCAGGTAATCCGCCCACCTTGGCCTCTCAAAGTGTTGAGATTGCAGGCGTGAGCCACCACGCCAGACCTGATACAATTTTTAAGAACTCATGCGGCCGGGTGCGGTGGCTCACGCTTGTAATCCCAGCACTTTGGGAGGCCGAGGCGGGTGGATCACGAGGTCAAGAGATCGAGACCATCCTGGTCAACATGGTGAAACCCCGTCTCTACTAAAAATACAAAAAATTAGCTGGGCACGGTGGCGCATGCCTGTAATCCCAGCTACTCAGGAGAATTGCCTGAACCCAGGAGGCAGAGGTTGCAGTGAGCCGAGATTGCGCCATTGCACTCCAGCCTGGGTAACAAGAGCGAAACTCCGTCTCAAAAAAAAAAAAAGAACTCATGCTAAAGATAAATTCCAGATAATTCAGAAACACATAGGGAGGAAACTCATGATAACCTAAAATCACACAACCTAAAGATAAGTACCACCCATTTTTGTCTTCCCCCATTTTCTTTTCTTTTCTTTTTTTTTTGAGATGAAGTCTCATTCTGTCGCCCAGGCTGGTGTGCAGTGGCAGGATCTTGGCTCATGGCAACCTCCGCCTCCCAGGTTCAGGCAATTCTCCTGCCTCAGCCTCCTGAGTAGCTGGGATTACGGACATGTGCCACCACGCGCAGCTAATTTTTGTATTTTTAGTAGAGACGAGGTTTCACCATGTTGGTCAGGCTGGTCTCAAACTCCCGACCTTGTGATCCACCCACCTTGGCCTCCCAAAGTGCTAGGATTACAGGTGTGAGCTACCATACCAGGCCCTTCCCCCACTTTCTGGGCAAAAATGAAAGCACTTTGTCCTTTTGAGAAAAACAATTCTCTAATGAATATTCTATGTTACATAGAGGCCTATGTAATAGATTTGCATGGCCACATGGTGTCAATTTCATGGATATATGATAATATTATTAATTCCCTGCTGAGGACATTAACTGGTTTCCAAGGCTGCTTGTTGTTTTTGCTACTACAAATAATGCATTGATGATAAATACTTTCACATGCATGCTTGTATGTTTATCTAAACTATTTTCACTGATTTATATTCATCTGGTGTGGATGGGAGTGTCCATTTTTGGCCTACCCCTGATAACCCTGTGTTATTATTTTTAAACATTTTGGTAATGGATCTCAGTGTTCTCATTTGAATTTATGTAATTTCTAGCAGAATGAGCCCCATGCCCTGTTTTCATTGGTCATTTATTATGTACATATGGTGAAATGCCTACTCGTGACCCAGCCAGTGTTGTTTCTTTTTCTTACTGATTACTACAGTACATTTTTAAATGAAAGCAGCCTTTGTCCCCTCTTTTTTTTCAGTTCTGTGTTAGAAGCAAGTAGCTCACATATTCACAAACCGACTTTTCCCATTGGTCTAGGGCAGTGGTGTTCAACCAGGGGTAATTTTGCCCCCCAGGGAACATTTGGCAATGTCTAGAGACATTTTTGTCACGGCTAGGGAAGAGGGCAGTGCTGTGGGCACGAGTGGAGGGAGGCCAGGGATGGCACCCAGCGTCATACAGTGCCCAGGACAGCCTTGAGACACAGAATGACCTGGCTGGAAGTGTGAGCTGGGTGGAGGTAAGGAAGCCCTGCTCTGGGGTCATCGCTCCCCCTTAGGTGGAACAGAGGAGCTCCTGGTAGCTGAGTGCTGACTTCATTATTTCCCTGCCCTTGCTTTCTGCTGTGCTGAAGTGCTGCTGATTAAATTACCCTGAAATCCCCACAGGACATGTTACTTCCTCACAGGTCTCTACCAGCCCAGAGCTGCCTTCAGGAATGGCATTATTACTCGCCCGCCACTGCATCCTCACCACACTCTTGGACTCCACCAAATGCAGACACCCTCCTGTCTGCAGGAGGATCTGGAGGGGTAGAAACACTTCCCCTCCATGACAGATTGGCTCTCCCCAGGACCTCGCCAGCAGTTCTTTGAATGGAGTGACTTCGAAGGTGGGGGTTGGGGAAGAAATGTGGGCCTGTTATTACAGATTCTATCTAGAAAGTTAGTTCTTCTATGAAAAACGTATCATATAAGTGAATAGGAGCAATAGAAACACGACGGTGGGACTGTGAGAAGCTTTCCCCACCTCTGGCATGTGAGTCTATTGCTTTTTGGGCAAGGCTCTTCCAGCGTGTGACCTTTTGCATGTGGTCACCGCATGAGTGTAGTTTTGTGTGGAGGCATTCCTGCTTTGAGCATGTATCTGCAACACGCCTCATCCAGTCCGCTGTCACAGAGCAAAGTGGAGCAAGTGGTTGACGCTGGTCTGCACCTGAGCTGGGAGCCAAGTGGTGACGAGTATACAGACCAACTCTCCAGAACCTCCTCAGTGACCTGCCTAGGTACGACTCAATTAGTTCTTGATGCTGGAGTTGAACTGCTGGACTGTCTGTAAAATCGAAGTGCAGCCTTTCATATTGTAGTGAAGAAAACCACTTGCCAGTTACAACCCGTGAGCAAAGCAGTTAAATATTCAAATATTTTACCAAGACTCCAGATGTATATTTTCTCAGGACTGCACATTCTATGAGACCAGAGGGACCAAGACATCACTACTAGAAATGTATGGTTTATTAGCACTTCCAGAGTTTTTGATAGGGGAGTTAATTATTGGAATTTTGAAATTCATGTCTTTTTCTTAATGCAACGTGGGGTAGTTAAGCTTCTGATCACTGCGCACCCCGATTATCCCAAAATCAAAAGTGGTGTTGGCAGCTGGATGTGGTGGCTCACACCTGCAGTCCCAGTACTTTGGGAGGCCAAGATGGGAGGATTGCTTGAGCCCAGAGCACTGATCTTAATGACCTTGAGTAAATTAACCTCTCTGGCTTTGGTTTCCTCATTTGTCAGTTAAGGGTGATTGCTGGCTTATCCTGCAGATCCAAATTCCAATTTTTGTGACAAGTGAAGTCCCTCGCCTGCTAAAGCAAGACCAGAGCCCATGTCTCCCCACAGCTAGGTCCCAGGCTTTGATTTTCACAGGGCAAATGTAGCCCAGCCATCTGGTGCCTGTTTTTCCCCAGACCTGGGCTTCCTCCTCTCTTGCAGATTTCAACTGGGGCTCACCATTTTCTGCCTCTTCCTCCTCCAATTTTAAAGAGACACCATATCCTTCTCTGCTGGGACCAACTTCCCATATATTACTGCCCTGCACCTGCGAAAACAGCTGCTGTGTTTTCTGTCATAAAAATAGCTGCCTTTTGGCAGAGCAGCACAGAACTGTGCTACGTTTCTGAGCCTTAATGCGCTGCTGAATTATTTAGGTGTGCTTAACCTGAGATACACAGAGCATCTTGGATCTCCCAAGCAGGGCTTCTACAGGCATTGCTCAGTAAAAGCTTTTCCTTTCCCTGCTTTTGTGATTACCAGGCAGAAACCTTCAAATGTACGAACTTACAAAGAAATTAAATTGTGCCAAATTAGATTCCCAGCCCCTAGAGATAACCACTAATTAAAGTTCCGTTGGAGAGTTTTGCCTGTATTTTGTATATAAATGTGGATTTTGTATTTGTATGTAAATAAAGATAGGACCCTGCTGTCCATATTATTTTAAAATAATTAGCTCCTGTTGGATTGATTTAATCCAATGATGGCGAATTCATTTGCAGAGCAGGGAAGGGCACTTTCCACTTCTATCATCCTGCCTGGGAGATTGAAGCCCAGTTAGAGGTTAAAACCCTCTCGTAATTGCCCAGGAGTTTAGCTTTGCCCTGCTGCCTGGTTTTTCCGTGTCTGATTTTATGCAGTGGGGAAAGAAGTCTTTTTGTTCCGCACAAATAAATTACAGGCATTTGCCGAAGCCGGAGTTGACCTGTATTAGGGATGCTGAAGGAGCCTGTCACGGCAGGGCGTCTCTCGGCGTGACTCCAACTTTCCTGAGGGAGCGCAGAGAGACAGATCGGGAAAACAGCACTCCAGATCTCCTGAGCCCATCGTTTATTTTAGTGAATCGCTAAATGCAGAAATGCAAAACATAAAAAGGCTGGGGAAGGATCTGTGGACTGTCTTACTGGCTACCTGGTGTTGTAAGATTATTTGAGCTCAAGGCGGTACACATGTCCCTCAGCACCAACTCCGCCCTGTCAAGCTGCTGGTCTACATGGTGGTTTTCAAGGGTATGAAGGACTTCAGTTTGTAAAGACGTTCCTAAACCCTCCGTGGCGTCTGCAGCAGGATGTCTGGAGCCGGAATCTGCTGTGCTGTCTTCCCTAGGCATGTGCTGGACTCAGTTTTTCCTGGGAGGTTTGCATCTGGGCAGCACTTCAGGGCGTGCTCCTCGAGCTCCATCCATGGCATCCGTGCCTGCCTGGGCTGTGCCTGCAGCCTGCTAAATGCCAACCTGGAAGCCCGAGACAGATAGGCTTGGAGCAGCTTAGCAGCCGGCTGGGCTAATTTATTTGACACAAATCAGCTCATTGACCTGATTTAGCACAGGAGGAACGACGGAGCCGAGTCAGATGTGATCGTAAAGCCCTTTCTTCTCACTGCAGCCCTTTCAGACCTTGAAGGACTGCAGTGTAGTCAAATGACCCTTGTGGGTGTGATTTCCAGCAAAGGAGAAGAAGATGGAGAGACGGAAAGTGGAGCACAAGGCAGTGCCGGTGCACAGACGCTGACAATTGCTTTCTGTGCCACTTGGTGGCACCAATGCCATAGGTTTTCTGTCCTCAGTGTGATCCTTGTCTAAAGATGATGGGCCCTGTGCCTGCGTGGAGCTCTCTCTCCTGAAAACAATGAAGCTGTTTCTATAGATGGAGAACCATCTGGTGGTGATGACAAATCAGGACTCTTTCCCGGGTCCTGGCAATTTTGTGAACAGGACTCAGGAAAGTAGTCCTTGCAGAAGAGGGCAGTGGGCATGCTGCTGGTGCCGAGGAGACCCACGGCCTAAATAAATACCCATAGCTGCCCCTTTCTTCTTCCTGCACCCTCCACCACTGCAAAAACTGGGATAGGCCTCTTAACCATTCATACCCAGACAAAGAAAAACATTTATGAAGCACTTGCCACGTGCCACTCTGCATGTGCAACATCTCACCCCCATCTTCTGAGACGTGCATTTTCTCTCTCTCTCTCTCTCTCTCTGTGTGTGTGTGTGTGAGAGAGAGAGAGTCTTGCTGTGTTGCCCAGGCTGGAGTGCAATGGCACGATCTTGGCTCACTGCAGCCTCAACCTCCCAGGCTCAAGTGACCCTCTCATCTCAGCCTCCTGAGTAGCTGGGACTGCAGGAACACACCGTTACACTCAGCTAATGTAATATTTTTAGTAGAGATGGGAGGGTCTCGCTATGTTGCTCAGGCTGGTCTTGAACTCCTGGGCTGAAGTGAGCTAATTTGAGCACAAGCTTACACCGTGACCTCAGGAGCCACCTGCAGATGCCAATCTGAGTAACTGGAGCTCTCAAGGTGCCAGCAGGGTCAGGGGCAGCGCGTTGCCTTGCACGTTTTGATCATCCCCTCATTGTTTCCTGTTGGCAGGGGCCGCGCCTCTGTGTCTTTCCTTTCTGGGCCCACTGGCCCATCTGTGAAAGGATGTACACAGGATAATGCATGGAGTCCTTCCAACCCTGGTATTCTAGGGCTGTAGCTGGTGGCTTCCAGAAGCTGGAAGATGTTGCTTGAAGCCAGTGCTGTTTAACCAGCGGGAGATCTTACACCATTCGCTACAAACAATGTTTGAAGACATTTTGTTGTTTTTGCTGCTTTGTTTTTTGAGACAAAAGTTTTGCTCTGTGGCCCAGGCTGGAGTGCAGTGGCACATTCACTGCTCACTGCAGCCTCGAATTCTTGGGCTAAGTGATCCTCCCACCTCAACCTCCTGAGTAGCTGGGACTACAGGCATGAGCCACTATGTCTTACTAATCTTTAATTTTTTTTGTGGAGATGGGGTCTTGCTATGTTGCCCAGGCTGGTCTCCAATCCCTAGTCTCAGGTTATCTTCCCACCTTAGCCTTCCAAGTAGCTGGGACTACAGGCCCCTGCCATCACAGCGGGCAAAAACCCGTGCTGTTTAACCAGAGGGAGACTTTGCCCCCAGGAGATACTTGGCAACGTTTGAAGACATTTTTGATTGTCAAAAAGCATAAGTTGGCCATGCGCAGTGGCTCATGCCTGTAATCCCAGCACTTTGGGAGGCTGAGGTGGGCAGATCACCTGAGGTTGGGAGTTCAAGACCAGCCTGACCAACATGAAAAAACCTCATCTCTGCTAAAAATACAAAATTAGCCGGGTGGCACATGCCTATAATCCCAGCTACTCAGGAGGCTGAGGCAGGAGACTTGAACCTGGG